ACTAATTATGAGTTTACAATGTATACTTTACATCATGTGGTTTTTATATCATTAAATAATTCATCAATTTATACCAAAAACTGTCTATTAATTTGATTAATGAGAGAGAGAGAGAGAGAGAGAGAGATGGGTGGGACAGACCTTAATGAGGAAGTTATCATGTTGTATTTGAATGATGACATCGCTGATGGTTGCGGTGCCGGAGCACTGATTCCGGGCGTTTCGGATCGATGTGTAAACATAGGACTCAAACTTGTATTTGTATTCTTTCCCCGATTCATAGCTTTTGGCGATTGTTATGAAACTAACTGTATTTGAAGGCAAATTCAACACAATCACAGCATATGTTATATAAATACAAAAACTTTATTTCTATTGTCAATCAAAATGAAACGATTTTTATTCTCTTACCCAACGCTATAACTAAAGTGAGTCTCATTCCCAACGAATGCACAAAAATAGTGTATTTTTGTCAAATAAGAGTCACTTTTTAATGTTAAATCGTTTATATATATTGGAAATACTGACAACACTTGACATTTGGAGTAACAGTTCCTCAAATCTAATCATATATTTCTTCTCAAATCTAATTTTTCATTCAATATATGTATAATATTTTGCGCGAATCCTTAGTTGTGTACTATATTTACATAATATGTGTTTATATTCATTGGCGAATCAATACATAGCTATTCATTCAACAAAATAATTCCTTGACATTGAATGAAACGAATTGGTGTTCAATAATAGTAATAATCATTAAACATATGATAACTCATTATATTTCGATTGGTATTCAGCGCTTTGATCATCACTTTTCTCTTAAATTAGTTTTATATTGGATTTGGTGTCAAAAAATGGATAAATCCAGTGATGAGTTCATTGATCCACATCTCATATCTACTATTATGAACACAACTGTTTAATACAGGGCTTAGAGCAAAGGTTTCCAATACTCACCAGTATTTATGCCATTCTACAGTATACCCATATTAAGTACAGATCAAATGCTTTATAAATTATACTTTTTTTTATAAAAAAAACATTGTATTTTATTTTTATTATTATTATTTTACAAATTTGTATAAATATATTATGCAATGTCTTTAATGCAAAACAATTAACTTACAGTATGTATAATATATTGAGAAATTTCTAGAATATGTCCTGTCAATGGTCTCTAATGTAGTGTAAACTGATTTTATATAATCATGATTTAAATCTCAATTTGTTATACATTTATTATAAGATTAACTTTAATGTAAACATAAATAAGTGATATTTATGTGCTGAACATTGCAAACAACACTTTTCTAATTTCATGAATCAATTAATTTCCTAATATTAGTGTCAATTAAATTCTATTGATATATAATTATCAAAATCGGGAGTGAATAATAAAAATGTAACCAAAAAACATGCTGTCTATCGATATATTGATGGTTTATGTCTTAAAATAATTTATACCAGAATATGTTTTGTAGTGGACTTTGTTTTAATGTTTAAATAAATGATTGACGATTGCAAACATGGCATATATATCGAGATTAAAGTTATGTGAAGTGAATAAACAAATGATTGACTTCAGTATTTATAGATATATACAGATTGTATAATATCAAAGTATTTACTTTATAATGATATATAAATTTAAATATATTTAAATTGTATAGAGTTTTGTTACTCAATAGAGTATCTGTATATAAATTTCAGTGGTTTAGTTATTATAATATAAGTCCTTTTCCTTATAACTATATTTATAAAGTTATAAAATAAAATTACAAATTATTCATACATTTTATCATTAAAATTATTGCAAAAAGCATTTTTATTTCAAGATTTTATTTATAATATATTATTTCTCATCACAAGTCAAACATACATATGTATAACTTTTTTGATATAAGTTTTTTGCTGACAATTCATTAAAAGATATATTGATTTATTAGTTAATAAAATGACAACATTTACATAATTGATATTTTGATACAAAAAAATCATTTTAATACAATATTATTAAAAATATAATTATATGTTACTTATTAATTATAATACTTTGTATTTTCGGAAATGAAATATTATGTTATGCTTTGTCCACTAGGTTAATTTATGTATTCATATATCAATCAACTGATTAATGTAATAATTAGTGTTTATAGTTCTGAAATTAAAAATAAATGTGAAAGATAAAATGTTTTGCGAAAATACTATTATTGAGAAATATAGTCAATATTTTTACCATAAATATTATGTAAATGAAAGTAATGTAAATGAAAACCCCCTTATTTTGTGTGAATTTGAATTTAATTTAAGATTATTTTGAATTTAATTCCAAGAATTTTGTGAAATCCTTGAAACAACAGAAAGAAAAGAATTTAATTTAATATTTAAAATAATATTACAAATGATAAAAATAAAGATAAGTATTTCGGAAATTTGTTTTACGTAAAGGTTTTTAGTTTATTTCCATATATTTCGTGTGATTTTATTTTCAAATATAAGCAATTAATTTAATGTCAATTTAACATAATTTTGAATAACTTGTACATTATTTTTACGATCATTTTATTATCAATTAGTAATTGTAAACTATATTTCATTCATAAATATATTGCATAAATCCTATCTAATGTTCGTTTAATTGACAATTAATTATATTATAAAATACAAAAAATCTTATAATTCGTTATTTGAATAAATTTATATTTTGTAATAAAAATTTTTAAATAACTCAAAGACATAAATAATAAATTTCAATAATAAACCAAACATTTGGTAATTTTATTTAAATAAATATTGTTTTGAAAGTTATATTTTAATTTACTTAAAATTATATTCTGTTCATATTTCGTTTTCCCAAAATACAAATAAAACAAATTCACAATTCATTTTCATATATTTTAAATAAATTATAATTTATTAATAATTTGTGGTTTTAATAATCAATGTATTCATTGGACACTTAAATGCATATTACAAACATTATTAGTATTGTTTGTATAACTTATTCTAATATATTCTAATATCAATTATTATGACATCATTTACTCAATAAACACCTGAATGTTGCACATTATTGCATCAAAAACTGTTAACAATTGAATTCAAACAGAGTATTAACTTATGTGTGAAATTCTATAACAACTATAAATTTAGATAAACCTTCAAATAAATGACTTGTTATGCAATTCTTAAATGTATTCTTAAATGCATTGAGAATTTGTTAAACAGAGTTATATTTGAATCGAAGAACACATGTCTTTGAATTGTAAATATTTTAACCCAAGAATTGTATGCAATTTGAGAGTCCGGGAGAATGAGTTGTTCGCGCAGTTGCCGTCCTTTTAGTAATGGGTTTTCTCTATAAAGCACTCAAACTCTTGTATTCGGAGAGAGAGTGTTGTGTCCATTAGATGAGCGAAAAGTGTAGTCAAACACACAGACATACCATTACATACGCTATTGTATTGTCTGTTAAATAAATTTTTTGGAAGTTTTCCTTTTTGTCTTAAAGGAAGAAATGGTCGCGACTTTCACTTGTTATAGGCTTTTATTCAGTAAAACAATCACTTAATAAGTAATTTATTTCTCTTTTTTCGGCGCAAAAGTTGTTTTTCAAGTTCGAGTCAAAAATCTTTTCCACATTTTTTTATATTTCAAATGAAACTTAAGCTAAAATTAAGTAATTTTTGTTTTACGAATTATTCTTTTGACACCAGTTATGAAACTTTTGATTAATTGAATGAAAAGTTTTTGAAATTATATTTCAAAGTGAAAATATGTCATGAATTTAAGCAGTGATAACGACATCAACGCATTATATAAACTAATGTCAGATAATGTGTTCCTCTCTTCGTCTAAAATACCAGCCATTGAGTCGTCGACTGGTATTTCTGAAGACTTAGGTCTCGGCCCGATTAGGGATCCATTGACGACAGTCATACCGATGACAATAGTATACGCTCTCATACTAATCACTGGAGTTATCGGCAATTTTATAACATGTTTGGTAATCGCACGGAACCGGTATATGCATACGGCGACCAACTATTATCTGTTCAGTTTAGCCATATCTGACTTACTGTTACTTGTGTTGGGTTTGCCTCAAGAGATATACCAGTTATGGCAGAAATATCCGTACGCTTTCGGCGAAGTGTTTTGTGTGATCCGCGGCATGACGTCCGAGGCGTCCACCAATTCATCTGTGCTCACAATAACTGCCTTCACTATCGAGAGATATGTAGCCATTTGTCATCCATTGAAGGCCCACACGATGTCAAAGTTGTCGCGAGCCGTGAAACTCATAATAATAATGTGGATTCTGGGCATTGTGTGCGCCCTTCCCATCGCCTATCAGTTCGGCATTGTTTACGACTTCAGTGATGACCGACAGATCCCAGAATCGGCCGCCTGTTCTATAAAGCGGACGATTCCGTACTTCAATGAACACACGTTTACCATCTCATCACTGCTTGTGTTTGTAATCCCAGTGACTATAATATCAGTGCTCTATATGTTGATTGGTTTAAAACTCCGCTATTCAACGGCCGTCCGAAACAAACAAATCGCTGCAAACAATACCACCGATCAGGACGTGAACGCCCGCAACGGCTCCGCGTATTTTAAATACCAGTCAACCAAAAGACCGCTTGACTCCAAGAACTCGTCCAACGGTTCCAATAGTTTGTCACAACGACGGGCTGTCATCAAAATGTTAAGTAAGAAAAATATAACAAAAATGCCATAATCTTGTATTGCAATGACATTTAATATGCATCTCAAAGGGAACGTCAGTTACAATCATGATTTTTTACTCATATTTTTCCATACATTAAAGTAAAAAATATAATTAAAATATCGATTTTATGACCGAATGCTTAATTTTAGATAATGGCATGATATTAATCTAGTTTATTACCACAACTCTGAGTTTTTATTTAGATTTATATACAAAAATATGTTTATAATTTTATTTGCAGATATTTTGCTATCAAATGATTTGAATGCAAAGAATAAATTATTATAGTATAAAAAAGTTATAAAAATCAGTTTCAAGCTTATTAAACATGAACTGAAACTGACATTTGAATGCATTTAATGGCACTCTTTCTCTGAGAAAAAGATTTTCAGTGTTTCCGACAGTAATTAATTGACACCAAATTAAATGTGTTTAATAAGGCATTCATTTGAATGACAAATAAAAATTGTATCAAATATATACTGACAAAAAGCTTATTTATTTAATTTTATTTATTTATAATAATATTTATAACGCAAAACTTTTATAAAACTTATAAACATTATTTAAAATTTTACTTTTTCTTTCATTTAATATAATGAACACTATTATTCATGCGATATAAAAGAGCATTTGATAAATATTGCCATTAAAACTGCTTGTTTTGATATTAATTTTAATTCACTGTTTAAATATAAATTAAAATTATTATTTTTTAAAAATATATTGTAAAGTAACTAAAGAAAAAAGTTATTTAACAGTAAATAGCATATGAGACGAATAAAGCTAATGGTGTAATGATATGTTAATAGATTCAGAAGATATATAATAGATATATGAATACATTTGGTGTCAAGAATGCCATCACTTATACTATTCTATTAACGAATTCTTGTTTTCTTATATTTTCCGTATTATTGAGAGTGAGATGAAGAACAAAATCAGTGCATTCCTCACATCAAACATCACATCTTGAGCTATAGTCCAATTGTTTTGGTATTTTTGCTCCCATTTTTCCGTTTATGTTATAAGAAAAACGTTACGAAGTGGTCAATACTTGTGCAAAATATCACAAACCTATTCCTATGAGTTTGTAATGTTTGTCCTCAACATTCATAACTGATTTAATATAAAGTCTATTGATATAATGAAATCTTATTATTGTCTTCCTTTGAAATGGTTTATTGTTTATGTGAACATAATTTTACATAAAGACATAATTATAATGATTCCTTGCAATTCTTGTCGTCAGTTCCCTGACTGTAAGCGTTAAGTAAAAACTTACTTTCCCTAACATTTTTGAGGGACATTCCCTTCTATGTCATCAAAACAATTAATGAATTTACAAAGAAATCTAAATTAGTTTGTCTTTTGCCGACACGTGTGGGTCTGTTATGCGTCTTCAATAAAGGCCTTCAATACACACATTAGTTATAAATAAATAGTATTTATAATTTACCGATAATTACTGTGAAATGATGTTTAAGTAATTAAATTAATAAATTTTAATAAAATTTAATAATTATCCAAATGTTTAGCATTAGTAACTTATAAAACAAAAATTTGCATAAATTAGTATTGAAACTAATAATAAGCGAAATGCACTCGAATTAACTCTTTTGCGTTATTATGCGGTCATTCACTCAGTATTTTATTATTTATTTTGAATTTTTATAATAATTAATTATGCTAATAATATTGACCCCCATTAGCCTATAATTAAACATTTGATTAATTCAAATATTAACAAAATTTATTGAATTAAATGTGTAATATATTCAAACAATATTGATGTAAATGTAATTAATTTAATCTAAATGTTATGTTTTAGTGAGAGATCGACAAAATAAAGGTATTCATTAGTTTTTGGCTTCATTTTGATGTTATATTTGAAGCCAATCTGCAGTCAAGTTATCAGTTGTAACCGTTTTTCATAGCATTTGATGCGTAAAATGCATCTATAATTACCTGCCTTTCGGGTTGTTTTAGCATAATTTTCTGCTCTTTTATTACTTGTATATTCAGTAACTAATAAATAAATATTATTTTCATTTTTGTACAAACATTGTGCATATTCTACACATGAGCTAACAGTTTGGTAAAGGTTTGCGAAAAAAATAATTTGCATTTTGATAGGAATCACAAGAATAATCAATTTTTATAATGTAATGTCTATTGAAAAATATAATTATTATTTTCATATTAAGATATATTGATATCCTGTTAATAATGGTTAGTAAAAATAAAAATATTTTGTAAATAGCATTCGTTTTTTATGTTTTTATTCGCTTTAATGATTAAAATTGATAAAAATTGTATTTTCAAAGAATTTAATGATTAATAGACATTAAAAATTCTCCGTAAAATTTCTTTGCCATCGACTGTATAGGCAAAAGTGTTATGCTTTATACGATTCACAATACAATCAAACACTTGTGTTAAACGTTTGCTAAAAGAAACTCAACTTTATTTATAACTAAAATTTCAATCAATATTTATCCTTCATTTGTAATTATAATCAGCAAAACATGTTTAAGATTTCGTACATTAGATCGGAATGTTTTTAATTATATTTATTGTAAAAGTATAGATAATTTGTTAAATTCAATCTAATTTAAAATCTAATTTATTAAAATTTTAATAATAAATTAATTCAAATTTAATTTGAATTTCAAATTTTATTTATATTAACTTTTTAATATAAAAATTACTATTCAATACATTTATTATTATATTTACATTTATAAGATTTTAAGTATAAAATTATAAATGAACAATCAATTAATCTTAGCCATTTGGTTTCTTAAATAACTTTAAGACTATAAGAGTTAATCTATTTCTGTAAAAAGTGTATAAGAGTGTCATATTTGTAATTTTTTCTGACTACCTTGCTTATAGATTATGGTGGTATACTTAAGTCTATAAGTAAGGTATTCAGAAAACATCGTGGATATGACACTCTTATATATTTTTTTACAGAATTGAATTAACTCTTATAGTCGTAAAATTATTCAAGGAACCAACTGGATCAAATTAATTAATCTTCTCTTTATATTTTAAAAAATATATCTTTAGTAATAATTAAAATACTGTTAAATATTTTACATTTGTAAAAATAAGATTTGATAAAAACTATTTTTAGATAAAAATATTAAAATATAAAGAATTGAAACCAAATACGAGTGCCTTTTTAACATAAACAGCGAATGCATTCTTTAAAAGCCTTACAAATGGAAATATATTTAAACAGTTTGGCTGAAAGGATATGCAATAAAACTAAATGATTGAATTCATAAAAATCTCAAACAATAAAAATGTTTATATATTTTGAGACATGTCTTAACACTATATTTACTATCAACGCATTTAATGGAAAACTATATGTAAATCGATTGATATTGAAAAATATTTTTAAAACCACTTTTTGTGAGTTTTGTTTCGTTACTTCTATTTGTGATAGAATTGTATGAATGAATTAATTATATTCTTTAAACTTAAATGTCATGATATGCTGAACAATAAAACTATTTTATTTTGTTCTTATTTAAATCTTTTTAAGCAAATCTAGGCTTTTATTCAGTGAATGAAATGTTGTGAAATAAGTGAACAAATAAGGGTTTGCAACAAATTACTCATTTTCCTACAATTTAAGGAAAATATTCCTTTTTTCCGAATTTCTCTATAAGAATTCCATAATATTCTTGTGAACTATTTTTGCCTTATTTTGAATTAAGTTTTATTTTCCCTTAAATATTGAACAAATACATTAAATCCCACTTTTATTATAATAAATATTTTGAATACAGTTTGCGGAGAATTTGTTAAATAATTTTTACAATTTTATATTAAGTTATTTGAAGATTCTTTAATTATATATAAATTCTTGAAGTTATGTTCAAAAATCTAAACGCATTTCTTAAATGACTAAAAAAGAATTTAATTTTATTTCTATAATTGCTAAACATTTAACTAAGGATCTTCAGAATTTTTAATTAAGTTTTAATTTGACAAATTATACTTATCTTTCATATTATATTAAAAGTGATTCTATTTTAGACTTTAAATAAAGAAACTTAAAATATATTTAATGGTAAAGCCTGTGAGGTTTCTTTAAGGGGTAATTCACAAAGTACGTTCGCACTTGGGGGAAATGATATCGGCTAAAGCGAACTTATGCAAACATAGAGGGGGTCTAGATTTCTTAAAAAAGTACGAACGCATTATGTGGATCACCCCTAAGTACTCCAAATCCTCATTAAATCTCTTTTGTGTTTCCGAAGAAATAATGACTAATTTTTGTTAAAAGACTTTTGGATTAAAGTTATTATTTTATATGAGGAGAGATTTTCATTGAAGGACTTGAAATAAAATAAGACTTCAATTTTGTTCAATTTTTTGAGCCATAAATTACTGATTCGTGTTCTTCACAGCTATTGTATAAAAAAAGGCTTTTTATATATAAAAACAAAATCGTTTCGTTTGACTATATTTTTTGTATTTGTCGTCTAATCGTGTGGCGAATGAAACCGAAAACACAATTTCTAATAATAACTTTTAAATGAACACA